GTCAGATGCGCAATGGCAAGACATGGAATATGTTAAAGCATCTCCTCAACGAAAACACCACCAAAACAAATCAAAAGCATGTTATCGCTCGAATTTTGCATAAAGAGATAGGGCGCACTACAGAAAAGCAAGTTGTCCAGCAGCTCGTGCATAAGTACCTCCCAATCAAAAGAGGATTGGCACCACCAAGTAGACAGTACCAGGGCACGCCAAATTTAGGTCTTGAGGGCGACTTTAACATCGAGGAGATCAGAAGAGCCTTGCATGATCTCAACGGCAGGTCGGCCCCTGGCTCGGACGGTATATCAAACAAGGCCCTGCGTAACCTTGATGACGATTCAGTTGAAACCCTGAGGGATATGATCAATTCAGCATGGAAAGAAAGCAGGGTGCCAGAGCAGTGGAAGCTGGCCAGCACGATCCTTATTCCTAAGCCAGGAAAGCCCCCTAACTTGGACAACATGAGGCCAATATTCTTGACATCATGTATCGGCAAGGTCGCAGAACATGCCATACTGCACAGGATAAACAAGTACTTGGAAGATAACGACATATATACACACAATATGGTTGGATTCAGGGCAGGGCTATCCACACAAGATGCATTGAAGCTTATCAAACACCAGGTCATTGACAATGAAACCAGAGACGTGAGAGCCATTCTGTGCCTAGATCTAGAAAAAGCGTTTGACAACATCCACCACTCATTCATACTCGAAGCAATTTCCAAGCTTGGTCTAGGGAAAGCCTTCTATGACTATGTATGGTCCTTTCTTACAGATCGGAAAGCCGTGATGAAGATTAAGATATCGAGACAGCAGCAATCGAACTAGAAGCAAGGGGCACGCCACAAGGGGCAGTGATTTCACCAATGCTGTTCAACATTGCCATGATTGGACTGTCAAAGAAATTATCGAGCATTGAAGGATTGAAGCACAGCATCTACGCAGATGACATTACCATCTGGTGCACAGGTGGAAGCGAGGAGCAGATTGAGAGCGCTCTGCAAGAGGCGATTGACACCGTAGAAGACTACCTTCGCCCTTCCGGGCTCAAGTGCTCCTCGAGTAAGTCAGAACTTTTGCTTTATCGGACTGCACGCCGGGGACCGAAGCCCAGGGGATGGAAGCCGTTAAACCAGATAGACATCCACCTCCGTACAAATCAAGGGGATGCTATCCAGAGGGTCGACTTCATCAAAGTCCTGGGAATGCTGATAGAGTCTACCGGCGCCAACAGCAAATCTATAGCCAAGTTAACTCGGAAAACAGACAGTGCGGTGCACCTCATACGCAGAGTGGCCAACAAAAGAAATGGCATCAAGGAAGACAACCTCATCAGGTTGATGCATGCGTTTGTTCTAAGTCACTTCACATACGAGGCAGCAATGAATAACTGGTCAAGAGCAGAGTCCGAGACACTGAATGTGCTCCTCAGGAAAGTTATCAAGAAGGTCCTGGGCCTACCCATACATACCAGCAACGAGCGTCTGCTTGAGCTTGGCATTCACAACACGCTCGAAGAAATAGCAGAAGCCCAAGAGAGAGCACAGTTTGCAAGGTTATCTACTACAAGGTCGGGGAGAATGATGCTGCAGGAGCTGGGCCAACACCCAATAGCAATCAGACGCAATTACAATGATATCCCTGACAACATCAGGGAGACTATCACGGTATCTCCTATACCGAGAAACATGCATCCAGAACACAACGTCGGAAGAAGAGTAGCGAGGGCCAGGACTATACTTCGTCAAGTTTCAAACGAGGAACGAGGGGTCGTATTTGTTGGCGTGGCTTCCTACGCCAATGGGAAAGCGTTTGTGGCAGTGGTAGTCGATGGGGCTGGCCATGTCGTCAACTCAGCGACGGTCAGGATGAAAGACCCAATCATTGCGGAACAAGTGGCCATCGCCTTAGCACTCAAGATGAATAACATTGAAGTCGCCTACAGTGATTCCATGGCAGCACTACGGGCGTTCGCCAAGGGGACGGTCTGTGAACAAACGCTGAAAATACTGCAAGGCAAGAACATAACGCATCATCTTCTGAGTTGGTTCCCAGCTCACCTTGGACAAATCAACTATTCCCCTCCCAATCTCAACGAAGCAGCACACGAGGCGGCGCGAGAACTCTCCAACCGCGCCTCCCCGGGGATGCGTTCTACCGGTGAAGGGGATAACCGGGAAATTCTTACAACATATAACGAGCTCACTAAACATTTCTACCTGTCTAGAAGGATTTTCCCTCCACCTCACAAAAATCTAACCCGGCCCCAAGCACTTACATTAAGGCTTTTGCAAACGCGGATGTACCCTACTTTGAAAATGTTACACATCATCTACCCTGACCTATACCCAAGTAATCTTTGTCCACATTGTGGGGAAATAGCTTCATTAGAACACATGCTCTGGCAGTGCACCAAATTCGCTCATTTATCGCACATCACCTCTGCCAGATGGGAGGCGGCAATCCGCAGCTCGTCCTTGGCAGATCAGCTCTGGGCTGTCCACCAAGCCCGCGAGGCGGCTGAGGAGCTTGGCATCTCAGTGCCCACGTGGGAGCTGCCCGCAACACAGTGATCTGTGTTTTGGAGGACCAAATAAAAGTTTATCCAATACAATCCATTCGCATCACGCAACGCCGAATTTGATATATGTGAAGCTAGCGAGACGGTGGCGAGCGCATCAAGAGCGTGGCGTGTAGTCATGACTCATGACTAACATGACATGCATGTCACAATTTCCATGTTAGGGTCTGTCGCTTGTGTTCGCCATGCAATCATGTCATACCATGCCAGTTTTGCAACATGTCATGTGAACGAGACCACCGCAAGAGCAGCAAGACTATGAAATGCAAATCATGACATGAATGTCATGATTTTCATGTTATGAATAGTCAAATATGCTCGTCATACAGTCATGTTATGCTATACCAAGTTTGGTATCGATACCATTATCCAAACGGCCACGAGAGCTAAACGTCGTAGGCGGCTAGATAGATACGCTCAAAGTCGCTGAATTTCGCTAAAAAATGCTTCGCATTTAAAACCATGCAGACGCCTTTAACGCGCCTCCATAAAAATAGGTGGTCAAATGTATAAAATCCTTGCAGAATGTGTCAAAAAGGAATACAATTTTGATGAACTTATGCGTGAAATGTCTTCGCATTGACAGTTCCGGCCGATTCGCTATGATCATAGCTATCTACAGGCCAGCAGTTGATTAAAAAGCCTTCGCACCCGCTGCAGGCGACTGCTCATGGCAGTGGCTTCCGGGACACCAACGGCTTCTTCCGGTGGCTTCAACCGCGCGCGCTCGATGCGCCATCCCGCTGCCCCTGGTGGAGACCAGTACAGTGGGTGCGCCAGGCCTTGGTTCGACGGGCTCTGGTGATCACTGACATCATGATAGAGAACCCGTATTCTCCCACATGCTTTGTTTATATATATTTTGAAATAAAACGTTCTCTCTCTACCCGATGTGGTCAGTGCGTGTCACGAACGCTCTAAATTAACCGTCATCCCCAGCAGCCACGCGTTTTGAGTATCGCGTTTCATTCGCCGTGCACAGTATACAGTGTCAATTTTTATGAAAGGGAGTACGGGAACGCGTGGCCTGCGTGCTTCGGCGGCTGCTGGCAGCGCGTTCAAGTGGAAGCGAGACCAACCATAGCCTTTTTTCGCGTCATGGCGTGGCGAGCAAAGCAACCATTCATTGATGATATGGAACCAGCGGGAAAATACCACATGCTTCCCCCCTCCCCCTATCAAGGTGAATAACGCAAGAGGCTGGTAATTGCCTTGTAGGGGGAGGGGATGAAATCTTGCCGCTGGTTCCATATAAGCAATAAATGGTAGCTTTGCTCGCCGCGAGATGCCGCAAAAAGAAGGTGTCGTACGTTGCTCTCGCTTCCACTTGAACGCGCTGCCATCGGAGCGCGCAGGCCACGCGTTCCTTTGTTCCCTTTCATAAAAATTGACACTCTACATCCTTTCAGCCTTCGACATTTTGGCGCGTTCCCAAACCAGCATGCACAGCTTAAGCGCTTCATTTGCTGCATGGAGATTCTTTTGCAGAGAAGTCGTCAGATGAACACTCGCTATCGATTGCTTCATTGCTTATCGTTTTGCCGTTGGTTACGAGGTGATCGATCAAGCTGAGAAGATAGGCGCGGACACCATGAAAAAGTGAAAAAAGAGAAGAAACAAAGAAAAAAAGAAAGAGAAATTTCGCAGGGACTTATTGTACAGCCGCGCAAACATGCTTGCATTATCAACGCAGCGCCGCGCTCCTTCTGCTCAACGAGCACTCGAAGCTAGCGACAAGCGTTCGAGAAGCGAGGTGCGTGCTACTTTAGGAAAGAGAGGTCAAGATATCTCACGGCGGTGAAAAGGAAAACACCGTCGTCGTCTTAACCTCATTACAATGAGTGAGATAAGAATAGAACGGGCATGAATATCAGATAACGGCGCGCCGCGTGGCTCCCCGGAAGGGAGGCCCATCTTGCGAAAGTGTCTACATAAAGGCTGCCGCCATCCACTGTACCCCCCTTCTTGGCCAACCCCTCACTGGTTGGGCGACACGTGTTTTGCCGTGCACTGTGAGCTCCGGCTGCGGAGACGTTGTTTGTTACCCCGCACAGGTGTTTACTCGCGCCTAGCGCTCCTCACGTTGTGGCGCGACCGGAGAGCTGCCCTTTCGCTGATCTGCGCCCGTTGCCGGCCTTGTGCCGTCACTTCCACTGGCGTGACGTGGTGCTGAACCGGCTGTTGTATAGACTCCTGTGTAAGCGCCCTGGATGCGCGTGGTGGCGCCTTCGGTAGAAGTACTGTGTTTCGCCCGCGGTAGACGTACACTCGACCTACTTCCTTGCCTCACCTGACGTCCTTAAGGCTCATCGCTGCTTGTTTTTTTGCGTGGGTCTTTTGACCACAGGGCGCGCTTTTCGCGATTTTCTGGATCGTATTGTCGTGACACCGGTGTGTCGCGTTTCCCCGTACAGTGTCGTGGCTTTACTGGAGGAGTGCCGAAGAGCGCTTGCAGTGTAGCAGCAAGAAGAGAAAGAATGCGACTGACTCCCAAGGAACTGGAAGGCCTGCTGGTGCACCAGGCGGGGTACCTAGCCCAGAAGCGATTGGCGCGCGGCCTGCGGCTCAATCATCCCGAAGCTGTAGCACTCATAGCTTGTCAGGTGAGTGCCGATGTCATTGAACATTGTGAGGCAGAGGAGTATCCTCGCTGCACGTATTCATTGCGCAGAAAGGTGGAAATTTAGTTTGGAGACTGTTGGACCATTACACCATGCATGCACTGTTGTTGCCTGTCCCGAGAAAATGACGTTCGCCCGTATCGTGATGCTGCGTTTTTTGGATATGTAAGGTCGAGGAACGTTCAACCTCTCCTGGTTGGAACCGAACATCGTGCATCAACGCACGCGCAGTATCACGTCCGCAACCATTGTGTTGAGGTTTCGAGCTTGTGGAAAGTTTGGCGCATTTATTATTAATATTTTTGACGTTCATTGAGGTCTTCCGAACTGTTTTTTTTTCGAATATTTTTGTTGGTACCCGGCTATTAGGCTAAGCGGAAGGGTGAACCGATTTCTTTGAATGCTTTACGGCTCCTGGAACTGTGTCCTGCAGAACAAGAAAGGTTGCAAGTCGGTTTTGGTAATACCTTTGAAACACACGACGTGATTTAGAAGGTCCGGGTGTTGAGAAGAAGCGTAGCAGAAGCTATATTAATTAATTAATTAATTCTTAACCGCTGTGCGTGATAGCCTGTCGTGAGAACAGTCCTGGTCTGGGCATTGATTCCGTTAGCACTAATAAATATTAATTCTTGTTGTCGTACTCCTCCTGTTTGCCGCGACGGTGGCCCAGTAGTAACGGTGTTTGGCTACTGACCCGGAAGACGTGGTTTCTATCCCAAACGCGGCGCAGTGGCTTTAACTTAGCCCGAAAGTCGCTAAATTTAGCGTATTTTCAGTTGTGATATTGCGACAATTCTATCGCTTTGGAGTCCTAGCGACTTTTGCGGGAGACTTTCAAAATTTAATGTAGTGTGTTATAAAACAGACGTAGCAAATGATAAAACTGTGAGAACAGTGCAATATACGGAATGAGCTTCAATAAATGAGGCCAAAGCCTATAGGATAAAGCTGCTTGTGGCATTGCGATCTCTAGCGTGCAATGTGGCACTTTTTTTGTTCCAGTATGATCCCTAGAATGGTCAAAGCCGCTCAGTGTGGCAGAGGGGCTCCGAACAGCTGAACGGCTCACTGCAAACAGGTGGACTTCAAATGCTGACCGGTTCTCAGTGGCGTAGCCACGAGGTAGCAGCGCAGTCCAACTTCATTCGCCTCGACAGAAATTCATTTGATATATTGTTTAAGTCAAATATAATCTATTCACGTGATATCAAGTCAAAAACTTAAAACTCAGAAAAAAATGATGATCATTATCATCCTTTAGCAAATTTTGGCTAAAATTGGCGACTTTTTGAAAGTGTCCTGGCGACTGCCAAAAAAAAAAAGTTAACACCATTACCGTGGTGGTCGCATCCCCATATAGACTAAATGCCAGAGGCCCATTTACTGAGCCATTTCATCGCGCGTTAACCCCCTGTAGACTCCATTATCCAGAGCCCTCCACTGCAGCGTCTTTGGGAAGTCAAAACCCATAAAACAACCACGCAATTATTCTCATAATTTTTTCTCGCGTATATCCATCACATGTTTACGGTTATTATATTACAAGGCCATGTCCTGCTAGACACGACAATAGATGCTGACACTCGCAGCATGCGTGCGCACCCAGTGTCACAAGATTATCGGACTTGTCCTCGGCGCCGCGCGCTTCAAAGCTTCAGATATTGACAGTGATAGGAGTCCACTTTCCTTACGTAAGGTTCTGTGTGCTAGGCTCGCTGGAGCGAGCTGTGGCGAAAGATCTAGCCGCCTGCAGAGTGACCTTGAAACTTTGGAGCGCTATACACGTGGTTCATTTGATGGGAAGTGGTCATAATTGCATGTTGACCACTGTTATGCCACAGACATTTTCCTCGTTCGGGAGCACGTCTCACGAGATCGAGCGCTGTTCCGACCAACTGTCTCCCCCCTCCCAGCGCCGCCTTCCGTGCAGGAGAACCGTGCAGTTCCCGGGATAACGTTGCTCCCTCCGCCGAACCACCTTGCAGTTCCGGGTATGGCTGCGTGTCCTCAGCCGAGCCACTGTGCCGTTCCGGGGAACTGGTCTCGCAGAAGAGTCCAAAAACGCTATTTAAGGCCGTGCCGGCCCCATGTTTAGTGGATTTACCCCAGCCGACGTTGTCGTGCTGGCCGGCTCTGTAAAAACGACAACCTGCTACAGTAAACGCTCCTTCTTGTTGCTGTTTTCAAAACGGATTGCCTCCCTGCTTCGCCTTCGGGAAAGGCTTCAGCGAAGTCCGCTCGACTGCTCGCCGCTCTTCGCAACCGCTATCATCGCGACACAGCAAATTCCTAACACCTCTTCCATGTACGGAACAGTAGACGGCCCTTTTCTCTTGTTTTTCATTGTGGTGTCCTCTTAAAACCGTCTATATATACTGTTCTTGGTAGCATGTTTCATGGATAACGTGACGTAAGAGCTTTTGGGTATAAGCTTTTTCTCTCAGGAGTGTTAATCCGCTTACATGGGAAAACGTCGGTCTGCTACACTCCTTTCTTGCCAAGACCTGGACAAGAGTATAGATTGTCGGCCTTGTTGGTGCATCATACATATTTTAAGTGGTTGAAATGCCATCTTCGAGGAGGAGGAAACTTGGTGGCTCAGCGGGTAATTATAGGTGCAGATTTGGGGCAGCGGGGTGGGAGAAAAGAAGCTTGTGCACTTGGTGGAACATTTACACGTGTCGCATTCTGTTGTCTTCCTCTTCTTCTTCTTGTTTTTCTTCTTTTTCTTTTTCTCTTTTTCTTGTTTTTCTTCTTTAGGGTTAAGCTGTCTCAACCTTGCCCTGTCTTGCGCGACATGTCTCCGTTTTGTTTCTACGAGCTTCATCGTCCAACCTAATTCTCTGCCTTCGTCGGCTACGTTTCATAGCTACACACTCATTTGTTCTCACTGACCACTGGTTTCGTGTGGTTTGCGCGGCCAGGTCAGATCCGGTTTGTACCAATAGTATACCTTGACTTTGGGCAAGTTGTTTACTCGTAGAAATACAGCTTGACTTATAATACTGGTGATACAGGAGAGCGCTCGTCTGCGAACGTGCTTACGCTTAAATGTCTTTATCGCCCCGTACTGAATTTGTCCGTCCCGTTCTCCGGCTGTGGAACACGACGTCCTCGTACGACGAATCTTCAAGGTCGAGTCGTATAGAACGCGCATAAACAACATACACGGTGGCGACGCAGGGCGTTGAACTTGTGCTCGCTTTTTTTTCCATTGCCTCGCCGCCGACCGCGGCCGTTGCTATTCGCACGATTGAGCAGAGCCCTGGTAGAGATAGTGCGGCCCTGGCCTGAGAGTAGATAGGGGGAACGAGGGGGGGGGGGGTTGCGCTTCCGCGGTACAGGACGTGAACCGCGAGGGGACGGCGACGACCGCATCGCAGTGGCGCCTCAAGCGTAAAAGAAATTGTGGGCGGGCCAACCAACCACTCGACTGGCTGCTCGCTCACCGAGAGGTCCGAGCAACGCGAGAATCTCCCCGCATTGTGTACTCGGCGATGTGTGCGCAGTAAACGACTACAATTGCGTACAATGTCGGTTACGCCGTGCTCTCCAGACGCCGGGAACGTCCTGTTGCCTCTTGTAGCGCTTGTCGCGATGCTTGTTGTCACATGTGTCCCGCTATCTGTGTACTTCTTGCGAACGGGGCACTTATGAAGAAGACGCATTACGGGAAAGAGTCGTGCAGTGAGGACGTAAAAAAAAAAAGAAAAAATAGGAGTCTTTCAATTCTACCAGGCAAAAAAAAAAAAAAAGTGGTCAAACTATAGTGGCACGTCAATTGGATCTATGCTAGCCTGGAAAAGGCATGCTCGCATGCATATGTTATAGAAAACAAGGAAAATTTTACAGCCATCTCTCGGAGAAGGGAGAACATAGGCCAGCTCTGCTGCAATGCAAAAGTCTTGTTCCGCAAAGGCATACTGAATTTCTTAACGGGACAGAATGTGCGTTATAAAAATGCGATAGCTTCGTTTTAATTTTTTTTATTCGAGAGCATATTTTGCAGGCCCCATGTGAGAACCACTGATGTAGACAGTGTGTTACTTGATGCTGAAGATTGCACACAAACGCAGTTGGGGACTCGAATAAAAATTGGGAGGATCCAGTTTCCATGCTGACAGAATAAGCGTCAGGCGCGTACCAGCGTGGTGCACTGGTAACTGAACACAATTAGTGAAGCTCTTGTACTACATTTGTCGCGTATAAAAGAGAAAGGGAAAATAAGAAGCAGAACTATGAGTTGGTCTTTTGATTTTTACAAAGGTGTTACTGTCCACGAAACAAAGATGTCACATTTGTCGCTGCGATCACTTTTACGTGATGTATCACTGCGTCAGTTAAAATATGCAAGGAGAACTAGTACCTTAATAAAATGCCTTGTTTGGCGCGTTGGTTCATTCTTGAATAGATTCGCAAATGTATGCCCCGCCGCGGTGGTCTAGTGGCTAAGGTACTCGGCTGCTGACCCGCAGGTCGCGGGATCAAATGCCGGCTGCGGCGGCTGCATTTCCGATGGAGGCGGAGATGTTGTAGGCCTGTGTGCTCAGATTTGGGTGCACGTTAAAAAAAAAAAAAAAAACCCAGGTGGTCGAAATTTCCGGAGCCCTCCATTAAGGGGTCTCTCATAAGTATATGGTGGTTTCGGGACGTTAAACCCCACATATCAATCAAATCAGATTCGCAAACGTACAAAAAAAAAATAAAAGAGAGGACGACTTAAGAGAGAACTCACTGCCTACTGGTTTTATTCGGAAAACACATTGGAATATAAAGTTCGCTACACCACAGGTGCGCCTGCGCACACATTCAGCAAGAAATCATTTTTTATCTCTCTTTTTTCATTTTTCTTGCTGGACGTGTGCTTAGGTGCGCCTGTGGTGTGCCGAACTTATGTTCTCATGTGTTTTCCGAAAAAAAGCGGTTGGTATGAGCGCTTGTACAGTCCTTCCTCTCTTATTCTGCGTTGTACATTTGCG